ACATCTGCAGCGAACGACGATCTCACCTACAGATAGATGCCGTTAATCGCACCATTACACTCTCAGGATGTATAACTCTTAAACATTGAAACTTTATCAGGTGTTTATCAACTTTGCTAATTTTAGGTTTTAACGGTGCTTCAGAGGTTACATCATGAATCAGGTCAAAGTACAGTGTAGTTTAGACTACGACCTAAGGTTGTGAGTAAAACTATTGTAAATAATTAGAGAATCATTAAACACATTAACCTGTCAAACCTATGCACCACTCTTAACCCAGTAACCTTGTTATAAAAAGCAGGGTCTACCTTGCATGAAATGGTGTAGTAGGTTTCTTTTTTTAAGTTGTGAGTAATATTACCAAGATGTTAAATATAAATTGTCGACTTTGGCGACCTTCCGACCTCCAAAAAGCTTAAAAATCTGTGGAATTTCGCACCATTTTTACGTTTGTGTGATTTTGACCCTGAAGCATCACTTTTTCATAAAGAACAATTATATAATCATTTTTGAAGTACATTAAATTACCTATCGTTTAAGACCAAAATAGTTATTACAGGCCTAATAGTTTTCAAGATACGACTCAGCAAACAACGACTAAAATTATACAATTTTGAACTTTCCTAAAGTTTGGCTAACGTTAACCCTAAAGCATACTTTTTCATTATTTTTCATTAAAAACAACCAAAATTACTTTAAAACTACATTAAATTACTCACAATTTAAGAATAAAATGGTGATTATAGGCCTAACACATTGAGAAATATGCCTCTTCAAGGTTCCTAAAATCTTCCATAAATGCTTGTATTTTAAGATTCAAGCTATTTAATTTGGTCAAACTTTATAAAAGAACCATAATAAGAAATAAACAAATTCATATCATTTCAACATTAGATTGTTTTATAAAAAAACTGTTAAAATGGAAACAAATCTATTGTATCTATCTACATAAACACACACGCACACTGTTACACTAAATGGTTCTCGTGGATAGAACCTTTGTTTCCCTTGTCTGTGATAGAACACAGGCCTGTGTAGAACGGTATTTATTGTATTTTTATTGTCGCGGGAGCCGGTTGGAGAACACTGAGGGTGATCGCATCTGTGATTTAGATGATCCTTGTACCATTGGAATGGCCTCTCTCGTTTTGCGAAGTGGGAAATCGCGACCGCAGCAAACCATCACGAATACAGGACGTCACCGCAATCACAAGAAATCATCACGGCTATTGCCGCGATATGGAAGTCATCACGAATCTCGCCACGATTGAGATACGATCAGAGATATGGCCACAATCACAAATAGGCCTATAGTCATGGATGCTGAGATAATCGCAGGAGATTATCGCGGATGTTGCCGCGATTGTGTAAGACGCGAATAACGTGAGTGCAATTATTATGGCATTGCCACCACCGCAAGTAACAATCACACACGGCTATTTATATGTTTTTTGTTTTTTAAGAGGTTGGTGGCCTTGTAGTGAATTTTCCATATAGGGAATAAGCTATTACCGTAGTACGAACGGGTAAGACGTACTCATGGTAAGACCTGGACAACCCACGACGCTAGTTAGGACGAACCCACGGATGGATTTGAGCAAGGGCCTTTCATACGCCTTGGCCACACACCACCTTGTATTATAAGTCCTCGCCACCCTAGGTTGAGGCAGCCCAAGGCCGCACGGCGTATATCTAGTGCGGCCTTTGGCTGCCTCAACTTGGGTGGCGAGGACGAGAGGATGCTATGAGAGGAGTTATGGTAGAGAAAACTCTCGAGTACGAACCCATTTCAGATATCCCACCAAAATCTTAAACCTTCCATAATTCCCTTACAAAAACATTTGTAACACAGTTCTTTGACTTAACGATTTCTGTAGACATTTTGAACTAGTCAAAGCAACATAAAAATGTATACTAGTGCATAAATTAAAAGTGACACATTTTAAATAAATAACGTAAGTGGAAACATGCCTAGTGTATATTAAAAATTTTATGATTGAAATATAAAATGTATCCTCGCTACTTATGAAATACATAGCAAATACCATGTTTTTCTATCAGTTCTTCTTGTCGTGTATCTGTTATAAAGGTACTTGGCGGAATTTTTGTCAGCGCCCCAGGAAATAATTCGCGTGTTCTAACCATTAGATCAAACCCCCACACCCGTGCCTGCGATTGGGTACGATAAATTTATGCATAAACTAACTAAAGTCCAAATACCTCTGTGGAGAAAACTAGAAATGGACGTTTTGCCACATTGACCCCTCGAAAGGGTTGTACACCGTCAGCCTCGCAAGGCTATCGTGGACGTAGAGCCTCGCAAGGCCGGTCTGGAGTATTAATAAACCTGCTACTGTGTCTGAATTCTGCTTTATGCTGCAATAAATCATCGTGTACTTTGCTTCAGATCTGCTCTTTAATTTAGAACGCAATTATTGTGCAAAAGCCACGGCAAAACATCGGAAAAGAGTTGATACGTGTTTAAAGACATACGAGAACCATTACTGTTTATTTATTTGCGTGTATAATTTATTGGATACAAGATTTGTCTTTGACTGATGGTGGTATTTTCATTGTTAGAACTTCAGTACTAATTACTATGTAGGTTTTAAATTTCTTATATTCGACGCCTGCACTCCAGAGTGAGCATTTTTTTAATATGGGTAAAAGTAAAGATTGTTGAATGAAAGAAATGAGAGCATTGTTAATGACAAAAATTTGCTGGTTTGTTAGCAGTGCCAAATATTTAGACCATGTAACTTCAACCTGGATGCGAGTTAGCGTAGCGAACGAGCAAACCTGAAGACAAATGAGCGCAGCGAACGAGCTCCAACCTAAAGGTGAGTAAGCGTAGCAAACATTAGGGCAGGACGACGTCTGTTGGGCCAGCTAGTGAAGAAATACATATTCATTCTTCAGTTTGTGGCGAATTCTCCTTAAACTGAAAGCTATTTGGATAAATTGCAGGATGTAACTTAAGGTCTAAAAAACTTCGTTTGATAGGTAAGCTGCAATTAGTGGAGGCTTTTGAAATTCACTAAATATTACTGTATCTGTCATAGAACACTGGTTATTTAATCTTAATTAGGAAAGAGGGGCTTAATATGTTTAGGTTGGCGGCCACTTTTCACTCGTACACATAGGTTACAGGTCTCCTCGTGATCGTAGCAAGCAGAGTCGATGCCGTACAAAAATGAACTGTACTAATAAATTAAATATTGACGATACCGTGGCAAGGCCCTGCAGCATTGCTACCTTAGACGGTAATGGCATAAGACGTGATTTTGTGTGGATATTTCTTGACACCCTACTTTCTAAACAACAGCAACTAAACAACATAACAACACAACAACCCAAAAACAACAAAACGTTATTTTTTGTGCATAATAAGCATAAGGAATAAGAATATTGTATTCCTTGAAGAGATGCTTGCAAGAAGTACGGCGGGATATTCTTAAGGCTGCTCTTAGGGCTTTTTTTCTGTAGACGGGAGACGTACTTTATTCGTACGCTCTCTCAGCCCCAAACTCCCACCAAATACGATAATAATGGGTAAATCAGTCCATAATAGGCACTCCAAGGTTACATGAGAATCGGTAAACTTCGAAAGAACTCTGATCACAAAAGTTCCTGTGCTAATTCTTCTGGATATGAGCTCTATATGGTCATGAAAGTTGAGCTGCCTGTCTAAGACCAAACCAAGAAACTTAGCATTGCTGCAAGAAGAGATCTCTTCGTCACCTATCAAAACAGTCAGTGGGACTTGCTTTTTTGAGCAGTTAAATATGGAATTAGAGCATTTTTGTCTTATTGCAGTTTAGATGGAATTTGAAATTGATGAAAAGGTAGAAAAAGAAAAGCTGCATTTATTTTATATTTAAACTGATAAAATAGGGCTGTAGTAAACCCGGTTAACTATAGTTTGTGTTCGGTATACCCAACAGTATTAAGGCACAGTTCTAAATTAGAATAAGAATACGAATAGTTTATTGTCATTGACCATGTATAGAAGGAATAGGCATTGTCAAGTTACATCAGAGTAAAAACAAGTATAAAATTGACCTACATAGCGTAAGCTACTGTTGTCACAAATTAAAATCCGTGTAAAGATATTTGTCTGGTACGGGATTTGGATCGCTGACAAACATTCGTTTTTGGTACATGCATTCAATTGGTGTATTGTGCCAATACAAATTGCTTGAATACAAATTAAAATTGCGTTTCAAAGAATTTTGGCCGTCGTTGCGTTCCTACCGAGTTCTGGCATTGCAATTGATGGAGCTGATTTCATTTCAACATATTTGTAGTACAAAACTTATCATGTAAGCAGTGCACGACTGAATATTCTTCGACCTAACATTATCTAAGATGCCATCTAGTTTATTTACTTGTTTGAAAAAATATATTTTTCAAATCTAGCTCAATTAATTCGTGTTGACACATCATTAATTAATTCACATTATATAGTTTACGTCCTTTAAGCAATGTCTGTTTCAAAATAATGTCCAGAATGTTTTTAGATCGCGATCGCAGCTAGAAAAATTATGAGAAGAAAAACAACCAAACGAAGTGTTTTGTATAAATGTAGACTCGTGGCGTTTAAGGTAAAAACTGCAACATAAGCGAGCAGGGTGTCGTGAATGTTTTATTTATTATGGCAAGCGCTTTGTTACTCAGTAAACATAGGTTGATTATATTTCCAGATGAAACAACCACCCAAAATATAAACTAGAAAGCATTAATCGCGCATCACAGTTAAATATGTCGTTTTCTTGTTAGTTGTCCTCTGTTCTTGGTAGGTTAAGTATTTTGGTACTGATGGGAATTGGACAAGTATCTCGGTAGGTACCACATTCGTAGCGAAATGCCTAACAGTGACTAAAATACAAAAACCCTCAAGAAACAGCTAAAAAGGTTACTCAGTATAAAAAGACCTCCAAACTAAATTAAAATGTAAATCGTTCAAGTAGGCCTAATTTAAAAGTTACGTTGCGTCTAACCTGCGTCCTCCAGGTCCTCGTCCGAGGTTGACGCCGAGGACATGAGCTGCGCGGAGTCTGCGGGGCTGGATGAGTCGCTGAAGGTCTGTGGAACCCTGAGGAACCTCACGTCGTCCGCCGTGCCTAGGCCGCTGTCCTGGGACTTTGCCTCTGGAAGGACTCCGTTGGACGCCTTCTCCCAGCGGAACGCTTCTTTCACTTTGGTCCACTTGGACACTTTAGACTTGGATGATCGGGGATCGAACTCGTGAGCGCGGTACTGACCCGTCGTCTTGAGCAGTTCCTCGACCCCAACCGACCTACTTCTCTCCCTTGTGCTCTTCATGAACGTTTGTCGGATCCCATAATGCGACGATTTGCACTTCGTGCTCCTTTTGCTTCTGTGTTTCTCCTCAATTTCCTCATGTTCCTTCTGAGGCATATCTTCGTGAGCGATGTTTTCTAGATATTTCACTCTTTCTTGCAGCTTTGAGTTTTGTATCCTCAACTGCCCCAGGTGTTCCATGAGGCGGTACAGGTTATCCAGATGTTCAAGTCCACCGGACGCCTCTGACGTTGATCTTTTCAACGCATATCTTGATTTGTTATACTCTTCAACTTTCTCGTTAGACATCGCCGGGAGACTTTTGATGTAGTCTAAAAACGCGTCTTCTTCCTCGATCGCCTTGCTTATTCTTTGATCCGCCGACTTTTCTTCCGTGATTTTGCTCTCTTTCGATCTTCTTCTCGCTCCTCTGCGCACATCTGTGTCCAGCTCTGAGGAAGAGCTAGCTCGAGACTCGACTGATTTGGAACGTTTTCGCTCATCTTTTGAACTTTTTTGTTCGGGAGGAATCTCTTTGTCCGTATCAACCACACCATCCATCTCAAAAATATAAATTAATCTGAGATTGAGAAAATACTTCTAGTATTCATCGCAACCAACACTGCTAATAAAGGGCAGAAAATCGCAACTTTTTAACACTTCACATAGCTAAACAAATGGCCTAATGGATTGGTGATTTCGAAACTTTTCTAACTTGAAACTGATGTAACACCAACGATCGCGCACTCGTCTAGTATTCCACACAAGATTGACACAGTGGCACCGATGATGTATAAACACGGCACGGAAACGACGACGCGGCGCAACGACGCTGTTCAGAATAGTCCGGTCGCCGCCCCTCCACCTTGGCAAGCGTCCCGACGCTGTCCGAGACGTCCACTAAACTCGCGCACGCGCACACACCCACACACACAGACCGAGAAAAACTCACGGAAGGATGGGCGGGTCAAATTTTCTGACTATACCAGTAGGAATGAAAACTGAAAACGGCCCTCGATTCTTGCTTAACACAATCTGTTTGTCTAAATTTGTGTTCGTTTTAAGACTTAATCTCCCTCCTGTACGTTAAAACACCCGTCTATGTCTGCGGGTATGCAAAAAGGCTTTAGAATGTCGATTCAAGCCATAACCCTTCAAAAACAGAATAGGTTATTTCTTCACTAGGGGGTAGAGTCACTTTTTCGACCCGAGCGCAAGTTTTGACGACGGAGGTGAAGCCGAGGTCGGAAAATGAGCTAAGGTTTAAGACTTTTTTGCTAGTGTGATGAACTATCTATATATTAATTTGAAACTGTTTTTCTTTGTGACAGCTAATTTGAGAGAACGGCTGGGCGTAGAAACTCGGTAGAGGTGTCTAAAGAAAGGGCTTGGTCTGTAGATGAGCCATCAAAAGAGAAACGAGGTAAATTCCCTTGGGGCCCTGCCCCAGTGGCCTTTAAATTCCCATCCCATATTATTCTTATGGGGGGGAAACGGGGTTTTGTCACAGCTAATTTGAGAGAACGGCTGGGCGTAGAAACTCGGTAGAGGTCTCTAAAAAAAGGTCTTGGTCTGTTTCCCTTGGGGCTCTGCCCCAGAGGCATATAAAGTCACCTCAGCAGATTTGTTTACATTATGACCATATGTATAATTTTACACTATTTTTAGACAACTTTAGGCTGCCTTTATTGAGTATATTCAAGAAATTCACAATAGTAGTTTGTAGGACATTTTATTCTCTTTCAGAATACCACCTTCCACTTTGGTCGATTTCCTCGCCGTTTCAAAGTTATTTGCAAAAACGTTAAGCAACCTCCAGGTTTATAGTAGTGAGAAAATACTGAATTAAAGATGTTGTTGTTAAATTTTGTACAATTAAATCTACAGTTCTACTGAACCGATTTTATTAATTAATAGGTCATTGGATAGCCTAATTTGTGAATATTTGCAAATAATTATGAAAGTACTGTTGAGGTTGCAAGCAAGATCGTTTGGCTATAAATCAATGATAAATAACTCCATTTTTTGAACAATTTGTGTTCGTCGTGATTTAGCTGCGTGCTTTAATGAAATGGAAGCTGGTATTTCAATGAGGATTCTTAGGTCAAAACAAATAGAATAACGTAATTAGAATTAAGTAAATGTATCTAAAACTAAATTCCAAATCCAAGATATAATCAAATTTATATTTTCTGATTGAGCGATACAGTATCTTGAACTTAACTGATTAAAACTATCAATATCTCAAGTGAAAGCCTTTGAAGTATTTTAAGACCAAGACATATAAAATAACTTAAATAAAAATAGAGTTACGTATCATTGATTGCAGATAGGTACTAAAACTATTGTATTTATTGTTGATTCGTGATTCAGCAGTGTGCTTTAGGTAGTCCGATCTTAATCAATAGCTCAAATGAAGGCTGGTATTTCACTTAAGGTGTTTAGACCAAAATGTATAATGTAATTAGAACTGCTGGAATACATCTTTCATTGAAGAGAAAACAAATTCTTTCGTCGATTAATACATTAGATAAATTAATGATGACGCTTGATGACAAATATGTGCCTGCATAGCATTATTTTAAGACCAAAATTATGAAAATCGGGCAGGTAGAAGAGCCCTACTGTAAACCATCGCCCGCTTGCGAAACATTGAACTCGGAAAAACCAAAATTTAACTCCCATAAGAAATGTACAGGGAGGCAGTTTGTTCATAACTCGAATCATACGTCAAAATGAATGCCGATGCTTGATGGTAAATCTGCGCAACGTCCATACCTTTAGTTTAAGGCCAAAATTGTGAAAATCGGTGGGGTAGAAGAGCTAAACCGCCTCGGAAAAGAAAAACCAATTAATTTTATAGATGGCAATAATTGGTTTACCCATAATCTAATCATACGAAACATGTGTTAATAATTCAACAGCTTATTGTTATCTAATTAATTTTTCTTTGATTAAATGTTGTTGTTAACAATTTGCATCTATGTTTAAAGTGTGTTCCTTATGATAAATGTGTGATTCTAATGTTATGCGCTTAAACTGTACCATTAATATTAGTGAGTAAAGTGGTGTATGGATTTCATAACCATTACTTTACTAGAGACCGTTGTATTTAACCACAACGGGCACTGTTGCTAGTTTGAGATATTTGAAATCTGTTTGCGGCAACCTTCTTAGATATGAGGACAACAATTATTATGGTCAATTTGGAAAATTTTGCCCTTAGGGGCAGCGGGGGTAAGGGGTAGCTCTAAAATTTCAAATGACAAAAATAGTCGAGTTTTGTATCATTTTACAGGTCTTGACGAAACATAACAATTGACATAAAGAAAACCAAAATCAGCCCACTAATAACAAAATGGTGCCCTAAAACGTTTCAAATAAATGATACTGGCTAGTGAAACAGCTGATCTTTAGTCAGTAACAAAGCTACACAGATCATCTCACACCATTCTAGGCCTACACTCATACTTCATTCATATTTGGGTTAAAATTCATACGCACCTAGGTGGCGTCCCCATCTCAATGATTGATAATTGATAATTGAATTGAAATCCAAATTCAACTCGATTTCAGAAACCATGAGGATGGATGAAAAATTAACTTGCACCCCCTTTAACTTTTTAATTATTTGAGATATTTGAAATTGGTTTGCGGAAACTTGTTTGGATATGTAGGGATACAAAAAGTATGGTCAATTTAAAAAATTTTGCCATTAAGGATAGCAGGGGTAGGGGGTAGCTCAAATAGCAAATTTTCAAATAGCAAGTATGGTCGAGTTTGGTATCATTTTACAGGTCTTGACAAAACATAACAGTTAATATAAAGAAAATAGAAATCGAAATATTATTAACAAAATGGCAGCTAAAAATGATTAAGACAATGTTTATTAAAAGTTATTTTGAACAGCCATTTTGTTATCAATGATCCGATTTCCATTTTCTTTATTTTAATAGTTATGTTTCGTCAAGACCTATAAAATAATACCAAACTCGACTGTACTTGCTGTTTGAAAATTTTGAGCTACTCCTTACCTCTGCTAACCCTAGGGGCAACATTTTTAAAACTGACCATAATTATCGTATCCCTTCATATCTAAGAAGGTTGCCACAAACAGATTTCAAATACCCCGAATGGTTGAAAAGTTAAGGGGGGGGGTGTAAGTTACTTTTCAGCCACCCTGTATATACTTGTATACTGATTACCATATTTTTAATTAAATTTTTTCAACTTAATAAATGCTACCGCTTAGAGACGGCGAAATAGAGGAAAAGGAAAAATAATTAAGTTGCCTTCATTATCTGCTACACAACCCACATACACCACTGTCTAGCACGAAGTATTGGATTGATGCAGGCGTTTTTGGACCATACAACATACAACGATATACAACACTCCCAACATATAGGTGTCCCCGACCTCTCTGTATCAAAGACTAACTAAAGTATAATGTTCAAAATTCTTGTTAGGAGATACTTAGTACAGAGCAATTAGCCAAAAAACTTCCTAACCTCAACATCTAAAGTGAAAGCTTTCCGCGCTATTGTTCAATGAATAGTGCCCGCTGCCCATACTGTACCGGTGTGTACCGTATTGTAAAATAAGCACCATTTTTTTAAGCGTTGGGTTTGTGGGCGAGGGAAGAGGGTTAAAGTATAAGATTATCTGTAGTTTTTGTTTTGTATTAAATATTTTGATAGCCATGTGGTCTTAGGACAAAAATAATAGAGGATTAATTTTAAAGAAGATTGATATTATAAGTGAAGGTTCCAGAGTTAAAAACGTTTAAACATGAACATTTGTAATGCTTTTTAAGTCCCGGGACAGCCACATATCTTGGAACAAAGTCAGAATACATAAACAAATCATTAAACTATGTTTTTGTTTCGTGGCTAGCAACACATACAATTGGTTTGTACTATTCCTAAATAGGTCTTCTAATTAAGAAAATATGAATAGGTTTTATTTAAATATTGAAAGTTTTAAAACTTGCTATGGTAGGTAATCATTGAATTACAAATTCTGTTATTACAAATTCCTAACGTTTTACTCAGATTTAAGGTAATATTCAACTACCTTTCAAGCGACTACATATTGATAAAACCTCTTTGATGCTATTCTTTATCCAATAGCCAATTCAAGTTTTCAAGAAAGCGTCCATCGTCTGCCGATCTTCCCTACTTTTCACAACATATACAAAATTGTCAAACTCCAACGATCCCATATGTTTTAGGTTAGAGTTTGTAATAATTAGTCCTATCGTTTATCGCCACAAGTGTATAGATGATTTGCAATAACAATCAGTTATTAAAGTTCCCCTGGTATAATATTTTGACGCCCCCCTGGGACCGCCCTTTGCGATCAAAAAATACTTTGTTTAACAATTTACATCACCTTGGTTACAACAAAACATAGCAGAAACAGAACACTTTTTGAATAAAGGTCAAAAGACCATAAATAAGTTACCTAGCAACAAAATGCATATTTGAAAAGAACTTCAAACAAGTCACAAGCTCTCTGTATCGTGAGTAATATAATAAGAAATTGAAGAGTAAAACTGTAATTAGAAACATGTAGATAGTTTTATCACGTTTTATCATATCCTAAGCTTTGCATGAATTAATTATTATGCCAATACGGAAGTCTACCCCTCATACCATTTTTAGTGTAGTTTGATTAGCCATATAAGTTTCATGTTCAAGATTTCAAATGTTTTTTTTCTGATTGAGATAGGCAAATCCTAAAATTATTGAATGAGT